AGACGCCAAGGTTGGGGTTTGATAGGATGGAGAGGAAGGAAGTGGGGCATTCCAGATGGAGAAGCTGCATGGGCAGAAGGTTCTAGAGAGCTTGGCACAGCAGGCCTGGGGCTCTGGCCTTGCTGCTTTCTCTAGCTTTGTTGTCCACTGTGTCAACCTCTCACTCCAACTGGACAGGTCTCAGTTCCCAGAGTGTTCTATCCTCACCCCTGCACCCTCACCCTGCTTTGGGTGCAGCTGGCCATGCCTCTCCCTCCCGGAGCGCGGGGTCCTGTTACTCTGCTGTCATACGCTGGGGCTCGGGGCTCTGTGCCCCCTTGATCCACAAGAGCATCTGGTGCCCATGTTTGCTCAATGAATGAATGAATGAATGCATGGACGGATGTCTCTGTTGGCTTGAGGGGATCCACCGTGCCTGGCTGCTGGGTAGAGGAGGTTCCAAGAGGGGACTTCTCACCTGTCTGCTGGTGGGAATCCAGTTTATGAAGAGCTGTGGATGGATGGCCACAGCCAAGGCCAAGGCCAAGGCCAGGCGTGCTCTGGGTGCTGGGGTCTGGCTGCCATCTGGTCCTCTGCGGAAGCTTGCAGGAAGGGGCTGGTGCAGTGGGGCAGTGGGTCAGCGGGGGACCCGTCTCCCGGGATGGGCAGGCATGCATCCGTGCTGGCGTGTGCCATCTTGTCTGCCCCTCGCCCTGAGGAGGTTGGGATGGACTTTGAGCTCTGCCTTTTTTCCAGGAGCAGAGCGTGGCTTTTGACGTGTTGGAAACATGTCTGCGAGGTGGGGCTGTGGAAGGCAAGTCGGGGCCAAAACCCCAGATCATCTTTTTCCAACGGTTTTGCAGGAGGCAGGTTCTGTCGGTGTTGTGTGGGTTTTGTCCATGAGGGCGCCTTGCAGGCTCTCCTCCGCCTTTGTCCTGGGGGAGAATCGCATTGCCCCAGGAAAACGTCTTTTCTCCCAGGTCCCAGGAAGAGCCACCCTAGTGACTGGCCCCTGGGCACTCCTGGGGCCTGTGTGGTCACCTGAATGTGTCTCCTGATCCCCAGGGACTCAGAGAGGACATTCCCTGCTCCGATGGTGCTAAGCCCAGAAAAGGAGTGAAAACACAGCACCAGAGCTGGCTGTGGTCTCCTGGTGCAGCCATGTTCCTGTCACGCCTTTGGCCACGGGTTGCAGTGGATACCTCCCGTGGGGCCACATAAAGTCAGGCAGGGATGGAGTGGCACAGGTGTGGGAGCCTGCGGCCCAAGCTGCCAGGGCTGGGCTTCTCAGCATCAGGATCTTGACCTCTTTGGGAAGTGTGTCCCCTGCAATTTGCTAACTACGCTTGGTATGCCACAGGTGTTTATTTCAACTTTTTTTTTTTTTTTAAAGAACTGATTGTTTCCTGTCCAGCTTTTTCAGAATGTCCCCCTCACTGGTACCCTCTGCCTGAGTAGGAGCAAGGGGCTGCATCATAGCTGGGGCATGGGGTGCAGGTCAGGTTGCAGGGAAGCCTGGCCTAGCATCACTGTGTCGTGTGTGGGAAGCTCCACAGGCTGCAGCAGGCAGGCAGGACTGGTGCCCGAGTGAGCAGGGAGAAGTCCCATGCGCTGTGACTTTCCTGCATCTCAGAAGTGCGTGTTGCCCTTTGGAAGGCGGCTCTGAGAAGGGCTACGCCGAGGAAGTTTGCTTTGTGTTGACCCAGTCTTTTGAAAGCTCACTGGAGGTGGAGCATCTGACTCACAGCAGGAGCTGTTGTTTCCCAAGCGGGTGTGGGTGTGTGTTGGGGGGGTGTTCCGTGCAGGCTTCTGTGCCAGCTCTCTGCTGGATTTACCTTTGTCTCTGGGGAAATGGAGAATTGATGCATTTTGCATCTTGTGCACGTTCATTCCTGCAGCCAGCGTCCAGTAGAAGCCGCTGTGCTGGGCGCTGTGTTGCTGCAGTCAGTATGTGGTGAGCACCTTCTGGCTTCCAGACTCCGTGGCTCCTCCCCTCCTGAAACCTGGGCCAGTCCAGTCCCTCAAGCCAAGGGCTCCTCTCTGCCAGTCCCTCCCTTCCTCCTCCCCTCCCTCCCTCCCAGCCTGGGACCACAGGCCCCTGGCACATGCTGCCAGGATGCACCTCCCCCCCCAGCCCTGCACCCCATTCTCATCATGACCCCAGTCCTGTGTGCCACCGGGGGACGGTGTTCAGCAGGTGACCTCGGCTGTTCTCTGCACCTTGGGGCTCACAGCTTCCATTGAGTGATGACCGATCCCACTGTGGATGAACAAATGGCTTAAAGAGAGTGGCTGTGTACAGACCAGGGCTGCTGAACACAGAAGCAGGGCTGAGGCGGGAAGGGAACTGGAGGCTCGCAGGAGAGGCAGGTGTCAGGTGAGGGGAGCAGAGGCGTGGGCAGCGCTGGGAGGACCCTTAGCAGCTGCAGGCCCCTGAGCACAGGGACATCTGTCAGTGATACCGTGGCACTGACTCCTCTCCACTGGAGCCCATCAGCACCTGTCTGGGTGACAGGATTCGGGGAGACATGGGTGCAGCGTCTCCACTGAAGCCAGGTGGCTCAGAGACCTCTGCCTCCCGAAGGTTCTGGAGCTCACCGCCTGATTTCTTCTTGGCGTGTATTTCTCGTTGTTGCCAGAGGAGACTCGGGGTCCCGAGAGAGGAGATGGTGATATGGCAGGAGAATTTGGAATTTGTAGATCAGCAGAAAAATACCCCTGTGGATATGCAGTGATAACACTTGTTCCTGGACAGAAGGCCCTCTGTGGCAAGCTCTTGGGGATGTCCTGGTGCCCACCTGGCTCCAAGTGCTCACGGCTGGATAGTTTCCTTAGCTCATGGCGGCCAGGCTGGGCTGGGCTGAGTGCTTCCTGGAGCTGGCTGACCCTTGGTGACCTCGTCGTTTGCCGGTCCAGCCACAGCGCCTCGGTCTGGACACAGCGGTGTGGTGTGGGCACTGACCCCAGCTTCTCACCGGGGGCAGGAGGATGGTCCCCTGAACCATCTTTGCTGAACCACAGAGAGCAGAGTCAGGGGGACCCTGGGGTCGGAGGGCAAGGAGGCTGCCCTCAGCAGAGAGGAGCTGACATCTTCTGACCTGGCACCGCTGAGGAGGTGGCTGCAGCGTGGCTGCCTCTGAGCACCGGGCGCTTTTCTGAGGTCGGAGCAGAGTGAGAGGCCAGGACCTGGGAGAGGGCTGAGCAGGGTGCAGCGCTGCCTGGGTGAGCACGTTCAGCCTGAGGAGGGGGTGTTTTGCTTCTATTCCGGCTTGGCCTCTGTGGAGCCAGCCCCTTCCCCGCCTGCGGCTGGTGAGAGGGTCAAATAATTACGGGGCTCCTCATTTCCCAGCCAATTGGGAAATTAAATCGCATCTCCATCCGAGCGCTATTAGTGACTTTCAAGATGTGGTAATTGAAAAGAAACTTTTTTAATCCACTTACCAAATTGGCATGGGGGGGGGCTCGGGAGCGGCAGGGGGCTTCTCAGCACCTTCCCCGTGGCTCCTGGCCTTGAAAGGCCGTGCCCCTCTCCCCCTCATCCCTGCCCCAGCAGGCTGCAGCACACACACACCCCCCTTGCCCACAAAGCAAGGCCTACCTCCATCTGTTGGATCACTACCCCCCCCCCCCCCGCCCTGGTTCTAGCAAAGCCAGGGCTGAGCCAGGTTGAAGCCAGGAGCCCAGGACTCCATCCAGGTCTCCTGTGTTGGGGTGGCAGGGGCCCAAGTACTCGAACCATCATCTGCTGCCTCCCCTCCCAGGATGCGTTAGCAAGAAGCTGGATCTGAAGTGGGGGAGCTGGGACTCACACTGGCACTTCGATATTGGATGCGGGCATCCCTAGTGACAGCTTAGCTCCCTGTGCCACAACGAATGCAGTGTTCTAAGGGACTTCAGGGCACAGGTGAAGGAGAGCTGGTCTCAGTGATGGGGTGAGGGCGTTGGTGTGCTGGACGGTGGTGACAACCTGAGATTGCTTTTCTGGAGGAAGAAAGTCAAGGCCTGTGGCCCGTGCATTGCCTGTGGCAGCGGGTGGCAGCTTGGGCAGGGTGCTGTATGGCTGGGAGAGCCATCGGGGCTCCCCATTCAGGCTGCTCAGCCTGACATGCCACATGCTGCTGGGTGCCCCCTTCACAAGAGAGAAGACAGATGTCACGTGTCCCTTGGGTGTCGTGTGGGAGTCTCCTGGGCCCAGCCTGTAGTAGCTCCCAGTTGGGTTAGCGCAGGTGGCATGGCCTGGGAGGTGCAGCTGGACAGGATGGAGACTTTCACAGAGACAGAGGAGCTTTTAGGGTGGTGCTGGGGGACCTTGGGGAGCTGGCTGGGCTGAGTCTTTTGAACAAAGGGACTTCACTTCCCCCTCTCACTTCCCACTGTGGCCTTAGAAGTATCCAAATTTGGAAGTGAGGAGCAGCCTCCTCCCCGAGACCCCATAACAGTTTAGGAGAGCATCACAGGCAACCTGACTGTGCCCCCTGCTCCCTGCCTGCACCAGGCCCTCGCTGCACAGCTGCTTTGCAAGAAATCTGGCAGCTGCTGGTGCCTTGGAGGGAAAGACCGTGCCTTTTTTTTTTTTTTTTGGAGGTATTTTATTGAACTATAGAACACAAACCATAACATTCACTTTAAAAAAAAAAAAAAGACTTATTTTGGCCGGCGCCGCGGCTCACTAGGCTAATCCTCCACCTTGCGGCGCTGGCACACCGGGTTCTAGTCCCGGTCGGGGCGCCGGATTCTGTCCCGGTTGCCCCTCTTCCAGGCCAGCTCTCTGCTGTGGCCAGGGAGTGCAGTGGAGGATGGCCCAAGTGCTTGGGTCCTGCACCCCATGGGAGACCAGGAGAAGTACCTGGCTCCTGCCTTCGGATCAGTGCGGTGTGCTGGCCGCAGCGCGCCAGCCGCGGTGGCCATTGGAGGGTGAACCAACGGCAAAAAGGAAGACCTTTCTCTCTGTCTCTCTCTCACTGTCCACTCTGCCTGTCAAAAAAAAAAAAAAAAGACTTATTTATTTGAAAGTCAGTGTTACAGACAGATAATCTTCCATCCATTGGTTCACTCTCCAAATAGCCACTATGATGCGTGAGGCCAGGCTGAAGCCAGGAGCCAGGAACTTCCACTCCCATGTGGGTGGCAAGGGCCCACGTACTTGCGCTATCCTCCACTGCTTTCCCCAGGCAAGCTAGCAAGGAGCTGGATTGGAAGTGGAGCAGCTGGGACTTGAACTGATGTAGCGTTGCAGGTGACTTAACCAGGTATACCATGATGCCAGTCCTAACATTCACTTTTTAAACTACGCAAGTCAGTGATTTATAGAATATTTACAAGTTGTACAACCATCACCACCATCACATTTTAGGACATTTTTAACACCCTCAAAAGAAACTCTGCACCCATTAAGAATTGCTCTCATTCCCTGGCAACCCTTAATCTGCTAAGTTGACACTGTTTGGTGTGTGTATTTGCACAAATTCCTGAATAAAAGGTCCAAAAGTGATAGCCCTGTTAGCCACAGTCCACACCACTCCTTATTGCCCCAGGCCTGACCCGCTCCCACTGTGTGACCCTATGGGCCTGGGAACTGGCAGTCTTTTGCTTCCTCCAGCGGATGGTGGGTTGTCAGCCACTCCAGACGCTGTTCTGACTGCAGTCCAGGTCCCGTGAGAGCTCACCTGACTTGCGCCAGGCTTCAGCTCTCTTTTCCCAAGTCTGCATCTGTGGGGAAGGTCGGTGAACCAGCCTCCACGTCCTGGTCTGCGCCTGCCAGTGCTGCCCCACGCGAGGACTGGCAGACACTGGGATGGGGGTGGGCCAGGACCTCACCGCCGTGCTGCCCACTTCCCTGCCCGCCACCTCCCCCTCCACAACAGCTTCTGCATGCCACGCTCATTTCGGCACTGTGTCGACATGAGCCGGCTCAGTATTTCAAACCGTTTAACCCGCTGCGATGGAAGCCGTAGCAATTAAATTTTAATTGAGATGCACGCTGCTCAAGCAGACACAAGACAGCTACAGCTATTGCTAATTAATTTTCTTCCGAAATGACAACATTTAATAATTATGCTCCGTGACGCTCGTGTTATTTACGTGCGTTGGTTGTGGTGGTGGTGTGTGCGCCCTCTGTGAGCTGTGATGGCCTCACAGGCTGTGCCGGGAAGGTGGGACAAGATGCCCCTCGAGACCTTAGAAGGAGCCTGGCTCCTGGCTCCCCTCACCACACACCCACCCCATGCACTTCTCTGCACAATTCTCAGGGCTGGTCACTGGGGGGCTTCCCCTCCCCTCCACGGCGTGAGAGCCCCTGGTTCGCTTAGCCAGGGATTCGCTTAACAGATCTGCCCTGAAGAGGCAGGAGAGCAAAGTGGTGGCGTGCCTGGGAGGTGGAGCATCCTGCAGGCATGGATTTTCCGGGAGAACTTGGGGCCGGCCATGTCTGCCTGCTCACCTGGGAGGCGGGAAAAGCAGGACCTCCCATCTGGGGACTTCCTGATTGCCCACCCCCAAACGCCCAGGACATCACCCCTTTCCAACTCAGGTATAGGTGAGCCCACCAGGGACCTCTGCCACCCCACATAGGGCCAGGGAACATGGCCCCAGCATAGCAGGTGTCTCAGGAGAAAGACAAGGGGCCCAGAACTGGACACGAGGCATGCCCACTGCCGTCAGATGGTTCCAGCAATGGGGCTCCAGTTTCTGCAGCATCTCCATGTCCTATTGCCACAGAGACTGTCCTGGACCAGTGCCCTGGGTTCTAGAAACTTGTCTGACCCTCTCAACAGCAGGGCTCCCCCCGCCCTCGACCCTGCCTGAGCCTTAGGCTGCAGGCTGCCTCCGCTGCCCACCGAGCTCCCTGGAAGGACGCAGCCTGGGAATCTGAAAGGGCTGGATTCCAAGGTTGCCAGTGCCTCATACAAGTTGCGTCCCCCAACCTCTCTGGGCCTCAGTTTTCCCCATCTGGAAAGTGGGAATAATGTAGCCTGCAGGGGGAAGATGGAATACGTCCACGTGGACCCGAGGGAGGAGCAACTGGGAGCCAAGGTGCATTTCATGGTACACGTAGGCCTGTGCATTAACAGGAAGTTGGGATGGAGAGTGGAACTGGGGCTCTAAGCTGAGGTCCCAAGCATCTGCTTAAACCCCGCGCCAAACACTCACCCCCGCAATGAGCTCAGGATGGAAGGCGGGGTTGTGTGCGTGGGAAAGGGAGAGGCAGGAAGCCCAGACCCAGGCCTTGTCCCTCGGCTCCGACTCCAGTGCAGCCGGGTCCTCCGTGAGGTCCAGAGGAAATGGCAGAGACATAGAAAGGGCAGCGGAGGCCTGGGGCTGAGCCGGGCTGGAAGCGTCCTGACAGTTATTCTCTCCCCAGGGACCGAAGGGTGAGCAGGCCAGGACCGGAGGGTTCAGCTGCTTGGGGGTGGCCTCTGGGCCAGCCTGGGTTACTGCCTGGGGAGCCGGGAGCCAAGGCTTGTTTTCATGGTTGGGTGCAACCCACCCCCAGCACTGAGAGGATGGTGAGCATGGGTTGGGGGGCAGTGATGTTTGTCACTGGGGGTGTGTGAGCGAGTGTGCGACTTTATGAGCTGGCGTAATCATGTGCAGTTTGTGTGAGTGTGTGCACGAGTGTGTGTCGTTTCTGGGTAATGTGTGGCTGTGCAATGAGTGTGAACATGCAAGTCTGGGATGGAGTGTGTGAGGGAGGAGTGCCCCAATGACATGAGTGACGGGGGTGGGGGCATGAGTCCCGTGTGGGCTCCTCTGAATGTCTTTCCTGCTCTGGGGGACCACAGACCCGAGACCTGTGCTTGGCAGAGCCTAGTGGGGAGGGAGTGGTGGCAGCAGCTGCACATGGAGCCTGGGGGTCCTGGCAAGGCCTCCCTGTCGGTGTGTGATGGGGGACCATGGTGAGTGGCTGGGTCCACGTGCTGCCTGAGCCTTGGGTGTAGATGTGAGGCTTGGATCCCCATATGGTTGGCTGGGGAGGACAGAGGCTCTGGGGTGCAAAAGTTGCTGGGTGGGGGACCTTTCGGGGTGGTAGCTCCCAGCAGGCAGGACCTGGGCTGCCCAGCCAGGCTGAATGTCCGGCGCAGGAGTAGCGCAGCACAGGCCTAGGTTTGTGTGGAGGAGGGAAGGGGGCTGAGTTGGGGAGTTCTCCTCCCCGGGGTCTCCTGAGCTGGTGGCCATAAGCCTGGGGGTTGTTCTGGCCCCTCTTTTCCGGGGCCCGCTTCTCAGCATCCCTCCCCTCTCCTGTGACTCAGAATGCAAGCCTTGCCTGTCCTGATTCAGTCGCCACACCCACACAGCCAGAGAAAATAATTAGGGGAGCGCATCGTGTTCTCTGCCAGGTTCCCAGGGCTGGGCCGGGGGCGTGTGAAGCCGCAGGCTGGGGTGTCCCAGAGGCAGGCTGGTGGGTGGAGCTTCATACTCTTCCCGCGTGGCCGGTGGGGGAGAAGGCCCCTGTGGGTCTGTGTTGGTGGGATCTGCAGCAGGCTGGGGGCATGAGCTGCGGGTGTGTGTGTGTGTGTGTGTGTGTGGCATGACAGGGAAGGTGACCGCGTGGCCAGGTCAAGTGCTGGGTGGGGGACCTGGCCTCTGGTTGCTTGCTCGGCTCGTGGGAGGCATTTCCAGACTGACATGGACTGCTGCCCGCCCTGTGAAGTCAGCACTGCAGTCATCCAGCTCCTGGGGTGGGCGTATGGCTGAAGGGTTAAGTGTCTGTCTTTGGTCCCTGATTCTGGCTCCTGCTAGTTGAGACCCTGGGAGGCAGCAGTGGGGGCTTACGTAGTTCATGTGAGAGACCTGGATGGAGTTCCCTGCTCCCAGCATTGGCCTGGCCTACCCCTTGCCATTGCAAGCAGGCAGGCATTTGGAAAGTGAATCAAGGGGCCGGCTGGCACTGTGGTGTAGAAGGTTAAGCTGCCGCCTGCAACGTGGGTTTCCCGTAAGGGCCCCGGTTCGAGTCCTGGCTGCTGCATTTCCAATCCAGTTCCCTGCTACTGAGAAAGCAGTGGAGGATGACCCAAGTGCTTGGGCCCCTGCCATCCACATAGGAGACCCGGATGGAGTTCCAGGTTCCTGACCATTGCAGCCATATGGGGAGTGGACCAATGGATGGAATCTCTCTCACTCTCTCTCTCTGTGACTCTGCTTGTCAAATAAATAAATCTTTAAGTAAAAGGCCATAAAAAAGAGAAAGTCAATCAAATAAATAAGTTAAAAAAGAAGAGCTGGCTGGCTCCAATGCTGCTCGTGACTGGTTACAGCCTTTGAAATCCTTGCACAGAGTGTGCGTGTGTGTGAGAGCCCAGCCAGGACCTCCTTCAGCGAGTGCCTGGCCTACCTGCTGCAGGTGTTAAGGAGGAAAAGTGCCACAAAGTCCACACACCTGACCTGGGCTGGACCAGCCTGCACTTCACCGTGGCCTGGAGCTCAGAGCTGCTGCCCACACAGGTCTGGCCTAATGCACACTCTTTCTCCAGCAAGGGGACTATTATATTTTATGATGAAAAAGTTTTACTTACTTGTTTATTTCAAAGACAGTCAGGGTGGTGGGGGGCGGGGTCTAGACACACAGAAAGAGATTGGCTTCTATCAGCTGGTTTACTCCTGAAATGGTTGCAGCAGCTGGGGCTGGGCCAGGCTGAAGCCAGGGGCTAGGAACTCCATCTGGGTTTCCCATGTGGGTGGCAGGGGTCCATGCACTTGAGCCATCACCTGCTGCCTTCGCAGCATGTGTGTTAGCAGGAAGGGGAGCTGGGACCACAACCCAGGTGCTTTAATAAGGGATGCGGTGACTTTAACTGCTCAACGCCGGCCTCAGCCTGGGGATTTACTCTCATTGCTCAGTACTAACAGCGGCTGACATCGACCGAGAGCTTTCTCTGCTAACCATGCCTGTCCATTCTCCACCTTACCCTTTAGAGAAGGAAATGAAGAACTTTTACTTATTTATTTATTTAAAAGGGAGGTGGGGTAGAGCCATAGAGAGAGACTTCTCTGTCTGCTGGGGGAACAGTAGGTAAGCGCTAAGGTGGTCTTTCTACTGAACCCTATGCCTTACCCACCGAACTTCCCTGTCTCCAGCCCAGGCCCGGCTGCCCCAGGCTCCCTTCCCATTTCCAAACCTGGGAGTCAGTGCAGGTTTGAGCTGTCTGGGCTCACAGAGCGTGTGCAGGAGTGCATGCGTGCGTGTCATGGGTGTGTTTGTGTTTGGGCAAGTGGAGAAAGCAAACAGCTCACGCATCCTGTTCCAGCCCAGCAGACATCACTGCATGGGGAAGGAATGTGGATTCGGCATGCAGTTTTTTTTTTTTCCCTCTTTGTAGAATGTAAATACCTTTGAGTTTCTGCAGGCTCCGGAAGGCTTCTGCTCCTCACAGCTCACTTGGAGGCTGTTGTGCAAAAGAGAAGGCTGGTGCGATGCAGGCTCGCGCATGCGCACGCACGGGCACACTCTGACAGCTGGGGAGCAGGCGCGCCTTAAGTATTGAGATCAGGAAAGCCGAGTGCTGGGGTGGGGGAGGCTGAAGCTGCACCCTGAGCAGGGCCATCTTCTGTTCATGCTGCTGCTGCCTTTTTTTTTTTTTTTTAAGATTTTATTTATTTGAAAGGCAGAGTGACAGAGAGAGAGAGAGAAGAGAAAGAATCTTCCAACCGCTGGTTCACTCCCCAAGTGACTACAACAGCTTGATGCTTGGAACTCCATCTGGGTCTCCCACATGGGTGGCAGAGACCATCCTCCAATAACTTTCCAGGTGCATTAGCAGGGAGTTGGATGGGAAGTGGAACAGCCGGGACTGCAACTGGTGCTGGTGTCACAAATGTCACAAGTGGTGGCCTAACCTGCTGTGCCACAATGCTGGCCCTAAGGAGGAAAGGAGAGCTGCAGGAACAAGACCCTGCCCCATGCAGGGCAGAACCTGGGGAGACTGTGGGGAGGCCTGGCCATGTGTGGTGCTGCCCACTGCTCTCAAAGAGGTTGAGCCTCCTGCCAGGGTTCCTGGGTGGTGAGTGGCGGAACAGAGCCTGGGTGCTTTTGCACTTCCGTTAAAGATGTCAGGGCTGTAAGCTGGCCACAGCTTTGGGAACCCCAGCTGTCTTCCCAGCCTGCAGTGGGCCCCCCACCCTGTGTGCCTGTGGGGTGTCAGTGACTCTTCAGAAGAATGGGCTGGGGATTTGCAGCCAAAGTGAGGTGGGCTAGAGGCAAGCATGTCCCTGCCATGTCCTGCAGGAATCAGGGTGGGAAGCAACACTCGTCCCCTTGTCCCCCATTCAGGGTCCCAGGGGGCTCCCCGGGGACTAGAGGAGCACAGGGTCTCACACACACTTTTCCTTCAGGGTCAGAAGGAACGCTGGCTAGGTGCGGCCACGTTTTCATGTTTTCTCTGTGTTTATCAATGCATAGAGCTTTTCATGCAAAAGCAGAAGGACCTATTGTTTAAAGATTATGACCCCAAGAGGATGGTGTTGTGGCAGAACAGGTTAAGCCACTGCCTGTGATGCTAGCAACCATTTGGGTCCCAGCTGCTCCACTTCTGATCCAGCTCCCTGCTAATGCACCTAGGAAACTGGAGGAAGATGGCCCAAGTGCTTGGGCACCTGCACCCATCTAGGAGACCGGGGATGAGATTTTTGGTTCCTGGTCCAGCCCCAGTTAGGGAGTGAACCAGTGGATGAAAGACACTGCAATTCTGGGACAGAGGATCCCACTCCCTGTCCTGGCTGTGGCTGCAGCCCTCGGGCTAGAGGGTCCCTTCAACCTGTTACTGTGCTCTGTGGCTGCTTGCAGAGTTTGTCAGCTTCCTGTGGCGTGGCATCCTGGCCTCTCCTTAGGCTGGGAGCACTTGGGGATGGCTTTCTCGGGACGGTCCTGGGCAGGGATCCCAGAGCTGAGCCTACCTGGGGCATTTGGCTCAGGAACCCCCGGCCCCAGAGACGGATTTGCAGGGCTCCGTGTAGCTGGGCTGTAAGGCATAGAGAACAAAAGGGACTTGATTGTGGGCACCTTGGAGAGCATGAACCGCAAGAGAGGCTGGCAGATGGCGGCAGGTTGGGAATGGCGGAAGTGCAAGTACAGGCTGGGGCCAGGCTGCTCTTATCTGGGGGGTGCGGCCTGCCGCCAGGGACAGCCAAGGACAGCCAGCAGCAAGCTGATGCAGGGTTTTTAGCAACTCTCTCCTTACCTCCCTCCAGCCCTCTGAGTACCTCATCCCCCATCTGAGCTTTTTGTATGAAGACTACTCAAGGTCTGAGTTTGCATTTTAATAGACTATTCTTGAAAAGCTTCCAACAAGTGACTCTCTTAATGGTAGAATTTCAGGTAGAGTCCGGGTGGTTTTATTTTTATTTTTTAAGCCAATGGAAGACTTATTTGTTTGAA